TTATAAACAAATATTAAACTCTAATTAATAGGTTTGTTTTCAGATATATGCTTCAGTAATTCTGAAATTACTTTCTTTGTATTTCAGGAATGAGCAAATAATAAGTAAACATATTGTAGATAACAAAAGCAAGGTATCTTGCTGTCAAAGAAAGAAATTACAGATTTGGAAAGAAGGAAGACTAGAACGAACCCTACCGTGTTTGACTGGAATTGAAGATATTATGATCAATCATGGCTTTTTAGATACACAGATACAAAATAGATGAGAAACAGAGAATGTATGTATACATATAATTCTATCTATTGATACACACACACACACACACACACACACACACACACACACACCCACCTGGAAAAATGGCTGATTCCTGGGCTGGGGTGGGAGTATTTTATAACACTAGAAAATAACAGAACTCAAAAAGTAATGAGCACTTGTCAAAAGGACAAAGAAGATGGCTTGCCTAGTCAAAACTGAGACAGTCTAAGGATAACTCAATGAATTAAAAAAAAAAAAAAAACCATGAGTATGGCTGGATGCGGTGGCTCACGCCTATAATCCCAGCGCTTTGGGGGGCCAAGGTGGGTGGATCACTTGAGGCCAGGAGTTCAAGGTCAGCCTGGCCAACATGACAAAACCTCAACTCTACTAAAAAAAAAAAAATCAGCCAGACATGGTGGTTCACACCTGTAGCCCCAGCTAGTCAGGAGGCTGAGGCACGAGAATCGCTTGAACCTGGGAGGTGGATGCTGCAGTGAACCAAGATCACGCCACAGTACTCTAGCCTAGGTGACTGAGCGAGACTCTGTCTCAAAAACAAACAAACAAACAAACAAAAAACAACCATGAGTTCATACTAATATGCATATACACCTATATACATAAATGGTAAAATGTGAAAGCTTGTAGAGAATGTGAACCAATAAATACAAAAATAATAGACTCAGAAAAAATCACCACTTGGCAACCAACTTAGTACCAACTGATTCAGATAAGAACAGAGAAGATGCTAAAACAAGTGGTGAAAATCTGATGAGGAGCAAGGTATTTGCATCAAAGTATCTCCCCAGAAGATACTATTAATAGTTACAAAGGAAGCAGTAACAAAGGAAATACAGTAGGGAAACCCTGCAGATAAAAATTAACACCCCCAGCCTAAGCAACATAGCAGGGTCTCCTCTCTATCAAAAATCTAAAAAATTAGGAAGGCACGGTGGCGTACACCTACAGTCCCAGCTACTCAGAAGGCTAAGGTGAATGGACTACTTAAGCCCAGAAGTTCGAGGCTACAGTGAGCCATGATCACACAACTGCACTCAAAACTGGGCAATAGAGCAAGATCCCTGCCTCTTTAAAAGAAATAATAAACAGAAGCTTAACATCTCTATTAATGGAATATATGGACAACATATGGTTCCTGATACGGTGCACTGAGAGGAACACAGTACTACTCTTGGAATGTTCCTGCCAAAAATGTAGAACACGAACCTAATCAAAAAGAAATACCAAATCAATATTAAAGAAATTCTAAAAATACTGGCCTATTCTTATCAAATGTCATCTCTTTAAAGTTCATACATGAGGAGTAACCAACTGATTCACATTAAGTGAAACTAAGACAAGTGAATCTAAGGTGTGATGTAGAATTTACTCTATTAAAGACATTAATGGTATGATTGGTGAAATCTGAATATGATCTACAGACAACAGTACCGTATCAAAGTTCATTTCTTGATTTTGATAACTGTACTATATAATTAAATGTGCTTGTTTTAAACATATACACAGTCATTTAGAAGTAAAGGGTACCATGAATTGCAATTTCCTCTCAAAATGTTCAGAAAAGAAATTATGTGTTCATTTGTATGTGAAGAGAGACAGAGTAAAGCAAATATGGTTACAGGAGGTAGAGAAATCTTGATGAAGTATGCACAAAAATTCATCATATTTTTCTATAAATGTGAAGTTATAAAAATTAAAAAGAATAAGGAAAAAAATTTGTATTTGGACATTATACCAGTAAAAAGCAAAACAAAACAAAAACACCAACGAAAAACTGAATGATGGTTCTCTTTTACTTGTAGCACCAGGGTTGAGAACTAAGTCCTTCTAATCCCTGCTCTAATGCTTACAGAACTATATTTCCTTGGAAAAATCACAACTGTTGGGACTCAGTTTCCTTGTTTGTAAAACGGGGTAACAGCTATCCAACCATTCTAAACTAAAGATCCACTGAAACATAATAATGGCAGCAGAAAAGAAGGCAGAGTATAAAACACTATGCATTATAAAATGGTTCGCTCTTTTTCTAATACCTACTATTTTTTTCTTTTTAATTTCTGTGAGTACACAGTAGATACATATACTTGTGTACATGAGATATTTTGATAAAGTGGTTAACTTCCCCCCATTCCCGAACCGCCCAGGCTGGAGTCTTGCTCTGTTGACCAGGCTAGAGTACAGTGGCACGACCTCAGTTCACTGCAACCTCTGCCTCCCCAGTTCAAGCAATTCTCCTTCCTCAGCCTCCAGGGTAGGTGGGATTACAGGTACACACCCAGCTAATTTTTGTATTTTTTTAGTAGACAGGGTTTCACCACATTGGCCAGGCTGGTCTTGAATTCCTGCCCTCGTGATCCACCCACCTTGGCCTCCCAAAGTGCTGGGATTACAAGCGTGAGCCACCACGTCTGGCAAAGTGGTTAACTTTTAACAAATGTTTGGTAAATTAAAAGTACTTCAAAAAATCTAAGTTTTTTTCATCATAGTGAGCAGCTGTTACAAAACTAGACATTTGCTACATCACATTTGGATTTGTAAAAAACAAAATTACTTATTCAAAACTCACTTGAAGGGCAAGAAAGATTTTTTTTAATTTTTTTACTCCAGAAGATTTTACTCATATATTTAAAATATTTCAACAAACTCAAACACTTATGTCTAATTTTTCTTGGCAATAAAACTTTATGGTATCAAAAACATTGCTAGATCAAAGAAAGCCACTAACTAGGATTTGGTCAATCTTTGAGACACAGATAACTGTATAGAAATCTTTATATCATTTCCCAAGTTCTACTCACTAAAGTACATGGCGAACCATTTCATCTTTCATTGATAAGCTATTCAAATGAGACCTGAGAAACCACATCAAATTCAGAAAATATTTGTAAAAGAGACATCAAATTTTTCAGGTACTTAAAAGTTTGCTTTAAAAATAAAAATACTTATTAAATTATTCTTCTAAATTCACAAGGCTTTGGTCTCCACTTAACAATAGTTGCTTTTCAAAATCATATGCATGTGATGATTTTAATGATTCTCATGTAACGATTCTCACTGACAAAAGAAAATATCCTTAAAACTGTATAAGAAATAGTTAAGACTCCAAAATACCAAACAGAGATTTTAAAACATATATGACAATTTTGCATAAAACTTAACGTAGCTAGTCATATTTTTCCATTGTTGGAAAAATCATTTAAGCAAGTCTACCTGCTCAGTCTCTATTTTGACCAGTAGACAGGCAATCTGAACTCTAAGAGTCAAAATGCTGATAACGATCAGGCTGCAACCAACACAGTCCCTAGCAAAGAAGCAATACTGGAGTCAGTAGAGCCTGCACAGTCTCCCCAGCTCTGCAGTAAGTTCAATACACACAATGCTAATGAGGCTAAATGAAAAGGATCACAAGAACATAGGCTCCAAGAGGGCATGGTTTTTGCTTGTCTGTTTTACCACTATAGCCCAGGAGATGGAAAAATACCTAGGCCACAAGACATGTTCATTAAATATTAGTTACATGAATGAACAAATCAATGAAAAGAATGAAATCCTAGGTCTTTCAAGTTAACCTATACAAATTACATTAAGTAGCAAAATTATTTTAAAAACAAATTTGACATACATTAACTTAATAGTCAAAACTATCTTTAGAAAACATGAGCAACCTAGTCCTCATTCTGACTAAAGAAATGTCAAAGTTCCTGAGATTTTTTTCTGACCTATAGTAGGTATTGTAATACATTTACATAGCCTTCCTTAAGTTTAAAGGGTGGCTGTATCGGAAACTCTTATAAAACAAAATTAGACAAAACAAATGCATAAAATCAAAATCATTAAAATCAAACGCATCATGTTTACCATCAAACATGAGATAGAATTCATTAGGTAAGAAATCGCAAGATATAGAAACATTTCTCATCAGCATTTTTTTCTCATAACCAATAGTACCTCTACCACAATCTGCTCCCTCCATAATTAGAAAATTAAAAATTCAATTTAACCTTTGTTTATTCCTATAGCATATATGTCAATAATTTATCATCTTATAGTTCAAAGAAATTCTTCAAAAAGTATATTTTATTATTAAATTAAGAGGTCTGAGGCCGACACGGTGGCTCATGCCTGTAATCCCAGCATTCTGGGAGGCCGAGGTGGGCAGATCACCTGAGGTCAGGAGTTTTAAACCAGCCTGACCAACAAGGAGAAACCCTGTCTTTACTAAAAATGCAAAATTAGCTGGGGATGGTGATACATGCTACTCAGGAGACTGTGGCAGGCGAATCAGTCGAATCCAGGAGGTGGAGTTTGCAGTGAGCAGAGATTGCGCCATTGCACTCTCGCCTGGGCAACAAGGGTAAAGCTCCATCTCAAAAGAGAGGTCTGCAATTCACTCAAATTAAGAGGTCTGCAATTCACTCTATTTCTTTTGTAAAATCACGTGGAGCAAAATACAAGAATACGAGTAAATACAACAAAAGTTTATATATGATTTATGCTCACTATCGAGCATAACTTTTTTCTCCAATTAACCTGTTTTTTGTGAAGTAATTCAGCTTATCCTAGACGCTCTCTTTTAAGACTACCAAAATATTCTAAGTGACAAACTTCATTCTGCTTCCCAAGTACTAACCATATAATCAATACACTATTCCACTACCAGTTGAAACCTAACATATTCCAAAGGGCCTGCCTTATGTGGGTTATAATCATCTTACTATGCTTCTTGTGTCCATGCTGCTGGAAAAGCAGTCTGTACAAGCAGGAGTAGAGGCACAATCCTGAGAGAGAGGAGCAGAGAAAGATGTTGAGAAAACAAAACTAGACAAAATTAGCTCACTTGTTCAGGAGCTCAGCCAGTGTAAAAGGTCAAAGTTGAATTACATTCTTTCATAACATTATGAGTTAGAAGTTGTCCAAAACAGCGTAACTGGCCTTAGAAAGAGATATCTAAATTGTACATACAAGCAGTAACATTTTCACTAATTCTAAGCCATCTATGTCCCTTCTTAAAAAGAAGCAAATGGGCCAGGCATGGTGGTCACACCAGTAATCCCAGCATTTTGCAAGACCGAGGCAGGCAGGTCACTTGACATCAGCAGTTCGAGACCAGCCTGGCCAACGTGGTGAAACCCCATCACTACTTAAAATACAAAAATCAGCTGGACGTGGTGGCATGTACTTGTAATTCCAGCTACGGGGAGGCTGAGACAGGAGAACTGCTTGAACCTAGGAGGCGGAGGTTGCAGTGAGCCAAGATCACACCATTGCCCAGCCTGGGCGACGAAGCAAGACTCCATCTCAAAAA